ATAGAGAGCACAGTCGGATTTCCGTCAGACGGCTTCAAATATTGATAACGATTTGGTCACTGAATCAAACAGTGATGTGTAAATTGGATCTGGAGCGTGTTGCTGTCGTCTATCAGCAGCAAGTTGAATCATGAAATTCCATGAAGATTTGACGACGCTATGGCGGTTTGACTGGCAGGAGGTATAGCAGCCACAATAGTCTTAGGAGTACAAACTTAGCAAGAAGAGTTCGAGAGGGAGATGGTTCCCAGCCTCTACATACCCCGAGAGCCAAGGTCCAGGTTGGTGGTACACCACCACAGAGTCCCCAACCATGAAGAGTCTCGAAACCAACCCTCCAAGGGGCTACACCAAGTGAAATGTAACACTACACAAAGTAACGTTACTATTTTCACTATTTAATATTTATCCGCGTCCCTTGGGCTTGAAATCTTGAGCTCTTGTTCCTGGATCTGCAAGATAAATTCTTCTTGAGTTGATGGGGGCTTGCTGCACACACCTGCGACACGATGGACACTTCACACTCGACAATATAGAAAAAACACATGCGACATACAAACGACGACTTGACATGCGAGTTGTAAAAACTCGCTAATGTCTTGACCGACACAAACCACATTGTGATACACCATTCAAACACACACACAAGCACTGGATAGCAATGACATAGACTCACAATTCATTCCATGCCATGCATGCACACACACAAACAAGGACGACAAGCCGAGTGCAAGCCATAGGGTTGCACCAACAAACTCCCCCTCGGATTGTTGGCCTTAGAATCTGCTCCCCTTAGTTCAGAGCCATCCCAGCAAGCTTGCAACACTTCCAATGCTGCTGCTCAACCAGCCTCTTGGTCATCATATCAGCGGGCTGTGCCGTCGTCTTCATGTAGTGCAACTCCACTTCACCCGAGGTTACCATGCTCCTCACCCAATGCCACTTCACCTTCATGTGCTTGGTAAGGCCATGAAGAACCGGATTCTTAGCCAATGCAATAGCACCCTGGCTATCACAATAGAGTGGGGTAGGTCCTTGCTGCTCCTCCCCCAATTCAGCTAGCAAACGCCGCTGCCACACAACCTCTCTTATGGCACGGAAGAGTGCCATGTACTCGGACTCCACCGAGCTCAATGCTTGGTCCACTTGCTTCTTGCTCTCCCAAGCTGTTGGGCCTCCACCAACACAGCAGATGAAGCCTCCCAGACTTGTCATGTCCTCTGGTTCTGATGCCCAAGATGCATCAGAGAAGGCGGTGAGAAAGAGCCTCCCGGGTTCGACTCCATCCGCACCCCTTTGACGCCTTTGTGCCGCCGCGGAGTATTGCAGTCCAACAATTGCTGTTTGGCCAAGGTACTTGGCCAGCCTCTCTCCAGATGCTACCTGCTCTTCATTAGGGCATTGGACAACCCTAGCCAGCTGCCCGGTAGCAAAGGCTGCATCCGGCCTTGTGTGAACGGCCGCATACATGAGGCTGCCCACCAAGGAGTGAAAACGCCGCCTCTCCTCTTCACCAACACTTTCCTCCGCTGGTCCTTTCACACACTTGAACCCTGAGGGAAGAGGAGTAGCCACATGACCTTCAATCTTCCCAAAGTTTGCAGCCAAGGCCTCCAAGTACTTCTTTTGATGCACTCGCATCCACCGCTTCTCCACATCTCGCTCAATGTGAAGCCCAAGGTAGTAGTTGACGTCACCAAGGGTCTTGCACTTGAACTTGTCTTGAAGCTTCAGCATCACCTCCTTCACAAGGTCAGAGGAGGGTGAGAATATGAGGATGTCATCCACATAAACCACCATGAAGCTCATCTGCTCCCCCTCGCCAAGCATGAACAAGGATTGATCGGCCGTTGAGGGAGTGAAGCCGATCGCCTCCAAGACTTCCCGCAGCTTGATGTACCATTGCCTAGGGGCTTGCTTGAGGCCATAGAGTGCTTTCTTCAGCTTCCACACTCTGCCACTCCCATCATTGTACCCCTCTGGCTGCTCCATGTAGGTCTCTTCCTCCAAAACGCCGTTGAGGAAGGCCGTTACTATATCCATTTGCTTCACCACCCATCCTTTGATGGCCGCCGCGGCGAAGAGGGTTCGAAGGGTTGTACCCTTCACCACAGGGGCATACACTTCATTGTTGTCCTTCTTCTCTTGCTGCTGATACCCCTTGGCTACAAGTCTGCTCTTGTAGCGCTCGATGTTGCCGTCGGCGTCGGTCTTGCGCTTGAAGAGCCACTTGGAAGAGATCGCCTTCCGCCCCGGAGGTAGGTTCACCAAGTCAAACGTGTCGTTCTCGATGATGCTCCCCATTTCTTCATCTGAGGCCTTCTTCCACTCCTTCCCATTTGGGCCCTCCCAAGCCTCCTTGGGATTTGTAGGCTCCCCCGGCATCTCCACCGGAGAGAAGAAGGCAAAGGCGCACTCCTCGCTTTCATCTTCCGCATCATCGCCTAGCATGAGAGCCGAACCGGTCAAGGTTGAGTTGGCTGGTCCTCCAAGCCGGTCATAGCTCAACCTATTGGGGGGCTGAGTCTTCCTTCTCCCCCTTCCTTCCTCCTCTGCTGCAGGGACTTGGATGCTCTCATGGCGTTGCTGCAAATCTGGTCGGTTCCCGCGAGCACTTGTAGCACTAGGCGGAAGTGACGGTGCACGCTCATCACCTTGCTGCACCTCCTCCTCCTCTTCTCCCCCATTCATTTGAGGAGATTGCCTTGTGATAGTGCTGCTGCTACTCAGCTCCAAGGGCAGCTCCACATGCTCCAAGCCGGTACTCTTCACCTCTCCAAGCCGCACACCAATCTTCGCTTGGTTCTCCGCCTTCCACTCCTTGTACGGTAAGTTCTCCATGAACTTGCAATCTCTGCTCACCAGGAACTTCTTGGTAAATGGGTCCCATAGAAGCCATCCCTTGCTGTTTTGAGCCATGCCCAGGTGCACGGCCCATGTTGCCTTAGCATCAAGCTTGTTGTGCCGAAGTTTCTTAGGCACAAGTGCCATGCACATGCACCCGAACACCCGAAGCATATCCACCTTCGGCTTCCTTCCAATCCACTCCACATAGGGCACCCATTTGTCTTCTCCCACGTGAGTCAAGGCTCTGCTCTTGGCCACACAAGCATGCCGCACCGCATCCGGCCAAAAATAATTGGGTAGACCGGCTTCAATGAGAAGTCCCCGAGCCGTCTCCGTGAGTGTCCGATTCGCACGCTCGGCAATGCCGTTCATTGCAGGAGAGTAGGGCATGGTGAGAGAGTGCCTTATGCCCTGTTTCTTCAGCCAAGTTGAGAAGTCCTTGCTCAGGAACTCTCCCCCACGGTCAGTGCGAATCACCTTCACAAGCCGGTCTTGTTGCCGTTCCACCATCGGCAACCAATCGGTCTTCACCGTTTCAGCCACGTCACTCTTCTTGGGCAGCACATACACCCAGGTCATGCGAGTGTAGACGCCCACAATTGTGAGAAAGTACTCTGCTCCAGCAGCTCCAAGCCTCAAGGGGCCCACCACATCCATCACCACCTCATCAAGTGGTGCCTTCGCCGTTGTCTCCGAGCTATGGAACGGGTAGCGGGTGAACTTGGCTTGCATGCATGTTGGACAGCCAAGCACCTCATTGGGCTCCCCCTTGACACGTATCCCACTGACCATCTCTTGCTTAACTATCTGCTGCAAAATGGGCAATGCCACATGCCCCATTCGCCGATGCAAGGTCAGCCAATCACACTCTCCCGTAGCCGAAGTCGGGTTGGAGAAGGCGGCACTCGCAATCGTGCCCCACAAGCTCTCTCCTTTCTCCTTTGCCGCTGCTGCTTTGCTGATCTTAGGCTTCTCCTCCTCATTTCCACCACCTTTGGCTGCTGCACCATTCTCCTTGAGTTCACACGCCTTGCTGGTCTCTCCAAGGTTGCACTCCTTCGAGTCACTCTTGGTGTCACTTTGCTTTCCGTGATCACCGCCACCTACCGCTTCACTCTTGGTGCTGACGCTTGCTGCCACTTGCCTCCCCTTAGGCATGGGGACCACTGGGATTTGCCACATCTCATTGTAGATGTCCCTGTCCTCATGAAGGTCCCAAAGCTTCCGCTCACCAAGCCTCGCGGTATAGGTTTTGGAACCCTTGGAAGATGTGTCCATGCCGGCCTTTTGCAAACGCCGAACAGAGATCAGGTTGGCTGCTAGGTTGGGCACCCAAAGCACGTTCTTGAGGCCCACCATCTTCCCATCAGCACCCTTGAACATGGCCTTGCCCATGCCTTTCACCTCTGCTCGCTGCCCCAAAGCCGATGTAACATGCTTGACCGGCGACGGTTCGAGTTCGGTGAGCAAGTCCGCACGAGGTGTCATGCTATAGGTGGCGCCGCTATCGATCACCCAAAAGTCCAGAGAGTGAAGGGTGACCTTTCCCACAGTAGCTGGCTCCTCAAAGCCTTCCACACCTCCTGCTGCAGCTGCCGCTTGCGTGGAGACAAAGAATAATTGGCCCGGGTATCGATCTTCACTCGAGTCCTTGTCGTAGTCTCCACCTTTCATGCTTTCCGCTTCGCCTCCACGACCACCACGGCCTCCACGACCTCTGCCTCTTCCTCCCCTTGCTCCTCTGCCCTCTTGGCCTTGAGAAGGGGTCCATCCATCAGGCAATCTGAAGCAATCTCTCCACATGTGGCCGGTCTTGTGACAAAAGTGGCATTCGCCATCAAATCGACCGCGCCCACGCCCATAGCCATTGTTGTTGTTGTTGCTGCCATATCCTCCATTACCACGGCCTCCACTGAAGTTACTGCTGCCAAATCTGCCTCCTCGCCCTCTGCCCCTTCCACGGCCGTGCCCACGGCCCATGCTTGCAACTCCGGCACCATCGGGACCCGCCAATTCGCGACGGCGGAACACTTCTTGTAAGATTTCCCGCTTCACATCTTCGATTGAGAGACGGGGCAGATCTCGATTTAGGTTGATGATGAGCGAGGACCATGAGTCCGGAAGTAAGGCCAGCAGCTTGGTCTTCTTTTGAAGGTCACTGTAGTTCAGATCAGCTCCTTCGAGCCGTGTCAACAAGTCGAAGAATTTCTGCACTCCTTCCTCCACCGGTTCGCCTTCGTCAACTCGAAGTGCCGCCATTTGCCGCTCCAAAACCACAGCCACCGCCGCTGTTGCAGGAGCGTGTACCCCCTTGAGAGCAGCCCATGCCTTTGGTCCCTTTGCTGGTTCACGCTGAAAAGGCTTGATGTGACGGATTTGGCTGCTCCCCAACGCTTGCCCAAGTAGAAGATAGCCTTGTGCGCTCTTCCGCACCCACGGGCTCTTCTCCGGGTCGTTCTCGGGGCGCTTCTCCGTTCCTTCCATCACCTCCAGCAGATCATAATGGTCAAAGATGTTCTCCATCTTGAAGGACCACTCAGCAAAGTTGTCACCGTTGAACTTGTCAAGGCCAAACACTCTAGGCTCATCCCTAGAGGGTCCAAGGCTAGGTTGCACCGGAGCAACGGGTGGATGTTGGTGTTGACCTTGTGCTTGGGCGTCTTCTCTGCCTCCAGCACCTCTGCCACCCCCTTCCTCAGGTCTAGTCATGGTCGAGACGGCTCCAAGGGGCTCTGATACCACTTGTTATAATCACAATAGGCTTAGATGTGCCTATAATGAGAGATAGAGAGCACAGTCGGATTTCCGTCAGACGGCTTCAAATATTGATAACGATCTGGAGCGTGTTGCTGTCGTCTATCAGCAGCAAGTTGAATCATGAAATTCCATGAAGATTTGACGACGCTATGGCGGTTTGACTGGCAGGAGGTATAGCAGCCACAATAGTCTTAGGAGTACAAACTTAGCAAGAAGAGTTCGAGAGGGAGATGGTTTCCAGCCTCTACATACCCCAAGAGCCGAGGTCCAGGTTGGTGGTACACCACCACAGAGTCCCCAACCATGAAGAGTCTCGAAACCAACCCTCCAAGGGGCTACACCAAGTGAAATGTAACACTACACAAAGTAACGTTACTATTTTCACTATTTAATATTTATCCGCGTCCCTTGGGCTTGAAATCTTGAGCTCTTGTTCCTGGATCTGCAAGATAAATTCTTCTTGAGTTGATGGGGGCTTGCTGCACACACCTGCGACACGATGGACACTTCACACTCGACAAAATAGAAAAAACACATGCGACACACAAACGACGACTTGACATGCGAGTTGTAAAAACTCGCTAATGTCTTGACCGACACAAACCACATTGTGATACACCATTCAAACACACACACAAGCACTTGATAGCAATGACATAGACTCACAATTCATTCCATGCCATGCATGCACACACACAAACAAGGACGACAAGCCGAGTGCAAGCCATAGGGTTGCACCAACAGAAGCCGCTCGATAAGAAACGTCACGCACGTATGATCGAGCTGCTGCGCAAGGGGGTTAGCGTGCGGAACATATCGAAGGAGTTAAGGATAGGTAAAATCATAGTCCATGATTACGGTCTGAAAGTCATCGCAGAGACAAGTCGTGATGAGGTTCGACCCACGATGCCGCCAGGTGGTAGGCCTCGCCTCATATCAAACCGACTTTGGCTCACCGTTATTCGAGCTATCACTGGTGGAGAGGCAAAAACGAGCGTTGACGCCGCTAAAATCCAAAAGTCGCGACTGTCCAAGAAGAACATTCGCGACCGGTTGGAGTTTGCGAGGGCGCACGTTGATTGGACGCTGGAGGACTGGAATGGTTTATTTTGTCGGACGAAATGAAAATCAATTGTTTCTGCTCCGACGGCCGCACATACGCCTGGATCCGCGATGGCAACTCCCTACAGAGCCATCAAATCCGCCAAACGGTGAAGCATGGAGGGGGTTTTGTGATGGTGTGCGGGTGCATGACCTATGAGGGTGCGAGATTTATTGGCAAGATATATGGGAGGATGGATGGGCCATTGTACGGCAGCATTTTGCAGGATGAACTCACGTCAACTATCGATTTCAACAGCCTCACGCCCTCTAAAGTCATTTTCCAGCATGATAACGACCCCAAGCATAAGTGTCGCCTAGTGCAGAAATACCTTTGGGAGCAGGAGTATGCAGTGCTAGAGTGGCCCTCCTCCTCCCCCGACCTTAACCCGATCGAGCATCTCTGGGCTCACCTGAAAAGAGAGCTGGCCAAGTACGATCGGCCACCCTCACGAATGGTGAAGCTTTGGGAGGGGGTCCAAGAGGAATGGGGGAAGATTCCGGTGGATGTTTGCTCGAATCTCATAGACAGCATGCCAAGGCCTGTGCGGGCTGTGAATAGGGCTGGGGGAAGGTGGACTAGGTACTAGAATTTTCATTTTTAGATCGCTAAGTGTTTCAGGAAACAAATGTCTGGATGTGGACATCGTATGTTTTGTCTGTTTTGATAATGTTTGTTTGAGGTAACCAACGTTTTCACCCAGGCTGGAAGTTGAGAATACATGTGCCCAGGTCCCATGTATATTCTTACATTAAGGCTTAATCTTGCTGGGAGATACTCGCAAAAAAGCTCACAAGTGCCTCTGCATCCTGACAGTTTTTTCCACCACCTTTACAAAGCGAGAGGGAGACGAGCAGGAGACACCTGCTCTAGGGGCAGAAGCACTAATCACTGCATGAGCACGGACGGCGGTAGTGGTAGTAGTAGCGGTGGTGGGAGCGGCAGTAGCTGTAGCCGATGTAGCAGTGGGGATGGCCGTAGCGGCAGTGGCGGCGGCTAGCGGCAGACGGCTGGCGGCTAACGGTAGGCAGCTGGCAGCAGCAGCTGCCAGCTAGCGCCGGTGGCCGGAACTCGTGGTTGGCGCCGGTGGCTGCCAGCTGGCGACTGGCGGCTGGCAGCTGGTAGCGGCAACTGGCAGCTGGCGGTAGGCGGCTGGCAGCGGCAACTGGCGGCTGGTGGTGGCGGCTGGCAGCGGTGGCTGCCAGCTGGCAATGGTGGCCGGCGGCTAGCGGCTGGCAGCGAGCGGCTGGCGGCGAGCGCCAGGCAGCTGGCAGTGAGGGCCGGCAGCGGCAGGCAGGCATTAGGAGGTGGTGGCAGCTGGGAGTGGCAGCAAGCTGCTGGCGGCAGCTAGCGGCGAGTGGCAGGCAAGCTGTGCATCGAGCTAAGGTAAGTCGCAGTGAGTTGGTGGCTAGCAGCTGGCAAGCGGCGGCAAGCTGCTAGCGGCTAGCTGCTGGCGGCGAGCTGGCAGCTAGTCGCGGGCGAGCTGGCGGCTAGATGCTGGTGGCAGCATGCTGGCGGCGGCATGTGGCTGGCGGCAAGCTGCCAGCGGGCCGCTGGTGGCAAGCTGGCGGCAGCAACCTGACAGCGAGCTGGTGGCTGGGCGCTGGCATTAGCGAGCTGGCGGCGAGCTGGCTGCAAGGCGCTAGCAGCAGTGAGCTGGCGGCAAGCTGGCAGTGAGGCGCTGGCAGCGAGCAAGCATGCAGCAAGTTAGCAGCGAGCTGGCAGTGAGTGGCGGGCTTCAAGCTGCGGCAGCGGTGAGCAGCGGGAAGGCACACTACGGCGGCAGTGGCTGGCGATAGTGCGCTACTGGTGGCGGGCAGCGGCTGCTGCAAGCAGCGCGATTGGCGCGCAATGCAGAGGCAGGGCAGCAGCCTAGGACTAGGGCATAAGCTAGGGCGACAGAATAGGTCCTAACCTAGTCTTAGGAGGTAAGCTAGGGTGGGAGAGGAGCACCTTGGGCAGAAGCGCGATGCTAGGACCTAACCTAGCCAGGGCCCTTTTTATCAGACGAAATCGGTCTGATGGTCTGATTTTCAGACCTGATTTTATAGGTTCATTTGAAAGTTTAGACAACCCTGAAAAATTAATTGAAGGGCCAATCAAACCCCTCACACTGCCTTCAGCACAAACTGGGAGGTAATTTTAGTGAAGGGCCAGTCATTTCCCTCACACAGCCCCCAGCATGCATTGGCCTCTGATTTTGGTGAAGGGCCGGATAGCACCCTCACAGAGACCCCAGCAAGTATCGGGCCCTGGTTTTGGCTAAGGTCCAATCAGCGTTCTCATGCCACAGGCCTCCAGGAAACGTTTCCAGACAAAAGAATGCACGCTGTCTGTAGACTCATACAAAAAATTACACGCAGTCTTAAATATCAGACGAAATAAATCATTGCTCTTAACGATCTGACAGATTTATCAAGGTTGTCTAAACTTTCAGATGAACCTAAAAAACCAGGTCTGAAAACCAGACCATCAGACCGATTTCGTCTGATAAAAAGGGCCTTGAGCTGGATGTGCTTTGCCTTGCCCTCAGGTCGAGCCTCTTGACACAGGAGGATCATGGCCCTGTTATCAGCAAACAGGACCGGGGCTGACCTAGGCCGCTCACCTAATTCCGTGAGCAAAAAACGTCAGCCAGCGGTGCTCCTGAGTGGCCATAACCCCAGCGTATATCTCTGCCTCACAACTAAACTAAGCTACAGATGACGACCTAGTGGATCGCCACGAGAGTGCACCCGCACAAAGACAAAAACAGTAGCCCTGTGAGGACCTTAGTGTCTCCAAGTCGTCAGCCCTTGGCGCATCTGTGTGTCCAGAGAGGACCACTGGCTCTTGACCTCCCAGCACAAGCCCCAGTCTTGATGTACTCGCGAGATATCGCAACACCCTCTTGGCAGTCGACCAGTTCTCTGGTTGGTGTCTGCCAGTCCTAACAAAGCGAGCAAACTTACTGAGAGGGTACGCTAGATCTGGACGAGTGCACGTCATCAGGTACATGAGGCACCCCACCAGCTCTGCGTATGGACCACTACGCTTGACCTGCGCACTGGGAACAGGAGCTGAGAGATTGTGGTCCAAAGGCAGAGGGGTCGGCTCTGCTGACGAGATCTGAAGGCCGAACACATCTGTTGCACCATAAGGGACTGGGAGAGTGTGATCAAGCATGCGGCACAGTCACAAGAGATCTCCAAGCCCATATAGCACTGCAATTCTCTCAGGTCTGTAAAAGCATGTCACCTGAGCAGCTCGGCCTTCATGGAGGTCACTGCGACTCTGTCTCGAGTAGCAAAACATGACAAGACAGGGAAAAGGACAGGGGACAGAGGAGAAGGAGGGTGGAAACAAGCCGGAGACAAGTTCGGAAGAGGTAACAGCGGACTGAAGATAGGGGAAGGTGGGAGGGGAGTGTTGGTAAAACCCTATGGCTTGCACTCGGCTTGTCGTCCTTGTTTGTGTGTGTGCATGCATGGCATGGAATGAATTCTGAGTCTATGTCATTGCTATCCAGTCCTTGTGTGTGTGTTTGAATGGTGTGTCACTATGTGGTTTGTGTCGGTCAAGATATTAGCGAGTTTTTACAACTCGCATGTCAAGTCGTCGTTTGTGTGTCGCATGTGTTTTTTCTATTTTGTCGAGTGTGAAGTGTCCATCGCGTCGCAGGTGTGTGCAGCAAGCCCCCATCAACTCAAGAAGAATGTATCTTGCATTTCCAAGACCAAGAGCTCAAGATTTCAAGCCCAAGGGACGCGGATAAATATTAAATAGTGAAACTAGTAACGCTACTTCGTGTAGTGTTACATTTACCTTGGTGTAGCCCCTTGGAGGGTTGGTTTCGAGACTCTTCGTGGTTGGGGACTCTGTGGTGGTGTACCACCAACCTGGACCTCGGCTTTGGGGGTATGTAGAGGCTGGGAACCATCTCCCTCTCGAACTCTTCTTGCTAAGTTTGTACTCCTAAGACTAAAGTGCCTGCTGTACCTCCTGCCAGTCAAACCGCCATAGCGTCGTCAAATCTTCATGGAATTTCATGATTCAACTTGCTGCAGAGAGACGACAGCATCGCGCTCCAGATCCAACTTACAGATCACCGTTTTATTCAGCGACCAGATCGTTATCAATATTTGAAGCCGTCTGACGGAAATCCGACTGTGCTCTCTATCTCTCATTATAGGCACATCTAAGCCTATTGTGATTATAACAGGGA